CCCCGCCAAGCTCATGCTCCTCTTGTCCCACGCATTCACAGTGATGATGGATTTGTCGCTTGCCGGCACGTACGATGTGCTCCTGGTACCGCTTCTAGTACCAAAGGCGATCTTGCAAGAGAAATGGTTGCCCGCAAACCTGCGAGACGGTCTGCTTCCCATTCCGGTGCAGATCCTCGCAGATTTGGATCTGGCGCAAGAAGCGAGCACCGCCTCCGAGCCTTTGCACTTGATCTTTCTTCAACTCGGCTATCAACACAATACAGGTCCGGGCAAGATGTGGATGGGCATGCGAATGAATAGCTTCAGCGAGGCCAAGTAGGTGTTTTTTTTTGCTTTGAACGCGATGCAGCCAGCGTCTGCTTGAACGAACTTTTGCTTCACTCTGATCTATCTCGCTTGCCAGGCTGGAAGTGCCCTTCATGAGACACCCCGCTGCCAGCGATGCAGGCTCGCACGTGCCTTTTCTCTTCAAGCAGACCATGTGAGCTTGCGCTTACGCTCGATCGAGCTCATCTATCTACTCACGCAGCACCCACCTTCTCTCCAACACAGTCTATCCTCTAGCCGCATCATCTCTACAGCAGCGCGCTACACGCCGGGCGCGCGAAGTCTACACGCCTCTTTCAAGCCCGACAAGTCTCCAAGCTCCTTCGAGGCTGATGCGCAGAGCATCCAGTATACCGTTGCTGACTGGTTGGATGCCAAAGCTACGCGTAGCGGAGAGCTGGATGAAGCATTCGAAAAGAGGTGGGATGCTGTGAAGCGATTGGCAGAAGCTGCTTGGTTTGCGGAAAGGAGCGGACAGAACATCATCGAGGTGCGCGCTCGTCCGCTGGCCTCTTTTCTCCCCGCTCGCTCGCGCCCCCAGTTGCACTTCTTCTGACACTTGCCGCTCCCCCCCCCTCCGCGCGCTACCAACTCAAAAGTTTCACTTCAACACATCTGCACCTCGTATACCTCCTAGAACATACGTCATCGATTTGACTCTCAACGTCCAGCGCTTTACCCACGAAAGCCGTTTGGGTGCTCAGGCTCACACGCAAGCTGTTGCTGCAGCATCATCATCCTCGTCTCAAGAGCTGAATTTCAAATCCATCAAGGCCTTCAGGACCAAGCTGGACCTCACTTCGGATTCCTTCAACGTCGATCAGATCGTCCATCGCGAGACGACGCGGGGCGGTGAGGTGAGGGATGCGTCAAAGTCGGCTCCAGCGGTTGATCTGCATCAAGACCTGTGATGCTTCGACCTGCCACACACACGGATTTGCGCGCCCGCTTGAGAATGAGAATGTGCATGGTGAATGCATCAATCCCCCCCGAACGAAAGAGTTCCCCCTTTGAAGGCCCTCTCAAACCCTCGCGCTGCGCTATGCTTTGTGCCCGTCAGGGAAGCTCACAGGACGCGCACGCTGGACTCCACTACCTCATCTCGTCTCGAGTCGGCACGCGCACTCACGACTCGTGTGAGCGCATCCTACCGCGCGGGTCGTGGGCAGGCTTGCCATGCTGTGCTTTATTCCACGCAGCCAGCCGGAACATTGTGTCGAAGAAGCCAAATACCTGCTCCCGTGCGCCCTCTTCCCTTCAAAAACAAGCTTCTTGCGCCGTATGTACGCCCCCCCCCCCCCCTCCACGACGAATACGAACGTGATGGACTGAGCTCGCACGCGCGTCATATCTATTGCGATGCTTTCGATGAGAGGCAAACTCATCAGGATTCCCTCGTGCTAGAGCTAGAGGCAGTGCGCGTCATGCGGGCATTCGAAGCCTTCTGGCTCGCATACGCCTTCGCATCCTCCGCAGGCCGGTCAAGCCGAACTGCCGGTATCCTTGCTCTTCCCTCATTCTCATCCTCCTCTTCTTCACCCTCATCCTCCTCTTCGCTCCAAGGAGGCAGTTCGTCCACCCCTCCATTCGCATCGCCAGCACGTGCATGGTTCGATTGAGAGCGAGGCAGATCGTGAGCTTCTGCGGGCACTTGTTGATAGCCCCTAGAGCGCATCCTCAAATGGCCCTGACCTGCCGTGCCTGATTTGGATTGCCAGAGCGAGTGGTAGGTGCCGTGGCGTAGATGAAGGGCGTACGAATAGAGGATGAGGGCAAAGTACACCTGCGGGGGGAAAAGGAAAGCGGTGTGCGTTTTGTGTTGAGCGGCCCCCACCTCACACGTGCCTGCGGATGCATCTTGCAGCTCACCTTGAGCACCCACCCAGCTGCGAGCACAGCGGCCGAAAAGCTCCTCTCCTCCTTCCACACTTGCTGAGCAGCATCCACCCTCTCCTGTCCAGCCAGGGGCACGTGATGTTTGATGCTTCCAGGAATCTCGTAGCTATTCTCAATCTTTTCGATGAGATCCATCAGACCTGCTTGATGAGGCGCCAACTGAGGTTTGGATCCATCATGAGGTTGCAGAGTGTACCAATCCATGGCAAAGTGCAATGTCCAAAAGGAAGAGACGAGATGATCGGCCAGGAAGAGGTGAGCGAATCTCAAGGTTTTGCTCGCATCTTCATCCGAAATGGCCCTCAATGCCCACAATAGCAATCCGATCGTGCCGATGCTGTAGATGTAGAGCGTGATCTGCGCAAAGGTTCCTCCGCTAAAGACGGCAATGATGCCGAATATGCCGGCAATCTTGTTGAACAGTGCGAAAAAGGTGATTACTGTGCATCCCACTTTGAGATCGAGCAGCAGCATGAACGAAGTGATCCACGCTCGTACTTGCTGCGATGGTGGTCGAAAGGTCAATCGCGACATGCTGAACGGCGAGGAGGAATGAACGAGAAGCGGTTGCGCGGCGGGGAGGAGGAATCTGCCGAAGCGTGCTGCTGCCTCTTGGGCGAGCTATGGAGCTGATGGGAGCGAGCCCAGTCGGCAGACGCTGGACTGCCCTCACAATGAGTGAGAATGTCCGAAGGAAGCGGAACGAGAAACAACTTGCACGCGCGTTATTCGTCGCACTACTACTGAAGCACAATGCCCGAGCAGAGCAGACACCAGATCAACCAAGACGTTTTGCCACTTCCCCCAAAATCGCCAAGCAGTCGTGCTTGTGCCTGTGTGTCGATTCGAAAGAGAACGACACGGGGGCTAGATAGAGAGGAGAGTAGGACGGACTGCGAGTCAGAGTCGCAGTGTAGAATGAGTGAGGTCACACTTGCTGCGATGCGCTCGATCTCAATCTCGTCTTTTTGCAATTTGAATCTTGAATCTGCATGCTCACTCCCCAGCCGTGTCCGCGCGGTTCACGCGTGACAGCGTCTCACGTGATGCCACACGACTCATCATTCCCCGATCATCGCGCAAAGCGCCCACGCATCAGCGTCCATTGACAATCAACATTGACGATTTGAGTCCAGAATCGAAGTTGGACTTTCGGGGTCTTTCAAAATCTCCCAAAATGAGGCTTGTGCGCAAGAGTCCAGCTTGTTGTGCGAGGTGCATGATGGCGAGGGATGGATGCGCGGGCCCCATCAAATCAAAGCGCCCACAACACGCGCGCGCGCGCGCGCGCAACACATTCGCAATCACAATCGTGAATGTCCATCTTCAACCTTCAACCACGCACGCGGTTTGCGCCTCTGCCATGGCCCCCGGCACGAACCGCTTGTCACTCGATCTTGCGGAGCCTAATTCCTCACTAGCAAGCCACACCAGACACGCGAAGCCTGACTAGGCATGGCGTCGCACGTCCCGCCCGGACCTGCACTCGTGACTGAGCAGCAAGATCATCTCCGCTCAATCGTTCCACAAGTCCATCTCCGATCACGCTGCCGCACGCACCCATCCTAGCGAGCCGGGACACTGTACAAAGTAATGGAAGTCATTGCTTTTGTAGTTGTTGTCTTTCGCAGTCCCCTTTCGACGCGCGATGAGCGATGAAGCAGGAGCTGGAAGCATGGACTGATGATGACAAGAGAATCAAGGCATGTTTTGCGTGAGGTGTTGGTCGAGTGCGTAGAAGTGTCGAAGCGAGTTGGGCCAGTGTAAAAGCCAGACGATGTATGAATGTGAACAGCGTGTCGTTTACTTCTTCTTGGCCTCGGCACCCTAAAGAATGAGTCGACCGTGTGAGCACACCGTAACAATCGCTTCAAGCGACGCGCCTCCCAACTCACCTTCTTCTTTTGAGTACCACGCAGCTTCTTTTGACGGTTCTTGCGCTCCTTTCGCAACTTGCGAGAAGGCTTCTCAACCTTGGTAGCAAGTCCAGCCTGTTTGCGTGAGACCGTGATAAAGGGTCAGCTCCCAATCTCGTGCGTGCGCGGGTGCCATCTTCTTGGGACACTTCTGCGACGGCTTTCACCAGCACGCTTCCACTACCTGCGCCTCCCATCCCAGCCGTACGAACACTACTCACTTTGACAAGACGGTGACGAGGTTCAAAATTCATGCTCTCGCGAGAGTCGTAGATGAGGGCGAAACCGGTCGATCTTCCACCACCAAAGTGGGTCCTCAAACCAAAGATGACGCATTGCTCCTTGTTCGCCTTGTACATCGTGGCCAGCTTCTCGCTCAGCTCAGCCTTGCTAACGTTGGCGCGCGCAGGGTGGATCACGTCCAGTACCATCTGTCTGCGTTGCAACAGACGGTTTGTGATGAATTTGCGCGTGCGCAGAGTAACGGGTGAAGTTGCGTCGACCTAAAATGGGACAAAAGGCGCGAATGTCAGCGTACTGCGTGGACCAGCTCTCGGAGGAGGATGCGAGCGCGTCACTGCGACCCAAGTCTCGACCAGGTATGAAGCGGCTGGACATCTCGCGTACGGTGGCAGGCAGCACGCATCACTATGTCTAGGCGACGTGCACGGTGGCCAGCAGAAGCAAGGATTTCGCAGCCGAGACAGTGGCTGTGCACGGAGCAGACACCGCCTTTGCAGCATTGAGTCGGCTGTTCGTCCTATCCAGCTCGGTTGACCAGGCTGCAAATCGCGTTCCCATTCGCCACGTCATCTTCGCAACGTCTCAACGACAACCCATCTTCCAACCTCATCTGCCGTTGCGGGAAGAGACGTGCTGAACGGGTTGCCCTCTCTGGCCGCCTCCTTCGCCTTCTGCCCTTCCGCCTCAATCACTCCAGCTGCGACACGGCCGTGGTCGGATTTTGAGAGCCACATCAATGACAGCGGTCCGTACCGCAGAGGCTTTCGGTTGCGTTCCCCAATTTGCTTCGTGGTCCTTCGCAAGTCACCTTCCCTCCCAATCCGGCCTGGCTCAGCATACGTCGCGGAAATACTAACCATGATGGGCACGGTCTCCTTTATGATGCAAAGAAGAGTGGAATCGGTCTTGTCGAGAGCGTCGGTCTTGAGGGTGATCGAGGAGACGCTGTTGTCAGTAGTGGCCGCGACGAACAGGTCAAAGTCAGCACAGAGTGAGCGCTTGCGCTTGGGCTCCTTCTCACCAATTTTGTGAGATCACCACGTGGTACATCACCAGCCCGCGCGCGCTGCAGCTGCGCGCTGCGAAGAGGTGCAGAAGCTCGCCACGTGGGCTACATGTGAGTGCGTGGTACATACACGCTCGGCCGAGCTGCCTGCAGCGTAACAAGAAGACTTGCGCGCCTGAGCGCGGCTGCCGGGCCTGAGGGGCGTCTGCGGCCATGCACTGACGACTCACAATCACCAAAGCCGCTTGAATAGGGTAGCGCTCCACCTTCAGTACCCCACTCACCCATCCTCAAGATCCTTGCTGGACTTTTGCGCCGTTAGTATCTCCCGATTGCTTCATTCTTTCTCTGCATATCCTGCATAGCGTGGAAGGGCCGTCGTCGCAATCGCTGCGAAGTGGATCGTGGGCTCGAAGGTGGGGAATGGATAGTCTTGGTCATGGATCAGCGAGTAGCATCGTCTAGTGCCGTATAGCATGTACTACACGTGCTGCGACATTCGATGGGATGCTCTACTGGCGTGGAACAGGGAATTCAGTAGCTGGGCAGACTGCAGCGCGCTGTTCGGCAGTGGGAGGCGCGATTGCGAGGGAGCTCTGGGATGGTCTCCGCTGCGAGCTCGCCAGATTCGCAAGCATCAGCATGCACTGCCTTCTGTAGCGAGGGCCAGAGAAGCTCAATGTGGCTTCTGCAGCTATCAGATCCTCGACCGCTCGGCCTTCGCTGATCTCTTTGATATCTTCCTCGTCTAGAAAATGTCGCTGGTTCAAACTTTCGGAAAGAAGAAGAACTCGACCGCCGTCGCCTCGATCAAGGCTGGCAAGGGATTGATTCGCATCAACTCCCAACCTATCCACTTGATCGAGCCAGAGACTTTGCGCCTCAAGGCTTACGAGCCCATCCTCATCGTTGGAGAGGACAAGTTCGCGTGAGTCTCTCCCGAGGTCACATGGTGGGACAAACCGTTGCGGGCGGTGGAATTCGTCAAGGCATTCGATCGCTCCATTCGCCTAGTCTGGCTTCGTACAGCTGACATTACGCTAACGCCGTGCACACCTACCCTTCGCTGCTAGCAACGTTGACCTCCGCATCAAGGTCTCCGGTGGTGGTCACGTCTCTCAGGTTTACGCCATCCGCCAGGCTATTGCCAAGGCTCTCGTTGCCTACTATGCAAAGCACGTGCGTATAGATGCAAGAGAGATTACAAGAGATTCGTGGTCGAGTTGAGCGGGGCGAGGGACGCGGAATGCCTGCTGAGGGCAAGGATCTGAGTAGAAGGCGTTACATGGGGTCCATAGGCGATGGATGCCAAGGCACTGGACATAGGCCCCGTGGAGCCATACGATTCCTCACGAGCAAATCAGAAGCTGACTTCACACTCTCCTCGAAATCCACAGCAAGATGCTGCTTCCTCTCTGGAGCTGCGTCAGCAATTTGTAGCCTACGACCGCACTCTGCTTGTCGCCGACCCTCGTCGCATGGAGCCCAAGAAGTACGGTGGTCGCGGTGCCCGTGCACGCAGGCAAAAGTCTTACAGATAAACGACTTTGCAACTGCTTGCTGTGAAGCGTCATGGGTAGAGGTTGCGGGTCTCGCATCGACACGTACGTGCCAAGAGCATTCTCAGCTGCGTCTCTCTCTGCGTTTGAAACTCTTGCCTCGCAAACAACCGAAAAGAATATTGGGAGCAGAAGTCTCTCTCATCCACCAGCTTGAAAGCTTGTACTACATCCACCCCAAAGAGTTCCCTTGCGCAAACACTTTCATCCCCATATGCTCAACATGGCAATCGAGATCACACCTTGAAACAAAGGCCCCTGCTTTTGCACTCGTGGTCCTCGTCCGCTTCGAGCCTGCTCGTTGGCGCTGCGAAAGCTGCGACGATTTTGCTGAGCGCGGTGGCGCTTTCGTGCAGCTGCGAGTGGTCTGCTTGGGACGGTATCCGAGTAGCGGCGGGATGTGAGACCTGATGGAGACTTTGTGCCGACGTCGTTGATCGCGGACGTGTGAAATGATAAGCGGCAATGAGACGTGCTTGCCTTGACGTCCCACGCGGACAAAGCAGATCACGTACGAACATGAAGCGCGCGTTGCCATCCCAAAATGACGATGACCCTCTTTGCCTTGCAGGTCGTCTCGCACTCTGACTGCACACTGCTCAAAAGCGAAGGGACACACAACATTCGCCGGCTTTCCAAACGTGGTCTCGCATCTGAAACACGCAGGGAGGCCCAAAAAATTCGCGCGAGCCGCATTCAGTCACACGTCTTCTTCGGAATCGAGATGCTTGGGATTCTCCTCACTGCCAACGGTTCGAGGACCGCCCGGGCGACTCGGAGCACGCGAGCGCTACCCGATCAATTGCCTCTCGACTTGCCTCTGCACTCGACTCGGCACACGAGGCGCGACTCACGGGTTAGGAAAGCCCGCTCAGTCAGAGCGAACACAGGAATACAGATTGTAAACGACGGAAAGGGGTTCACCTGACCAGGTTCTCTCGACGCTCAGAGCGACCACATGCATCACGAAGACTGATCAGATTCTTGCACCGTCTCTCTGCTCCAGGATGGGCAGGTGACAGAGGAGCACTCTGTTCGTGGAGGTGCTTGTCCGTCAACTCAACGCATCGACTGCTCGTCAGCCTTAGGAGAGCCCGGCGCTCAAACCCAATCCTCGTCGTCTTCGCTAATGTCACCATCGGCGATCTCGTTGGCCAGCTCCCTCTCTCTTTCGCGCGCCGCGACAGCGCTGTCGAGTTCCGCCTTGTGATTGTTGAGCGGGTAACGCATGGCCTGTGTGAAGTTGCAGCGATTCGTTCAGGATTAGCAGAGAGCTCGTGAACATGCGAGCACTGCGCTCAATCAACTCACCTTTACGCTCTCGTTGTGCAACTGCAAGCAAAAGTCGATCCTCTGTCTGAATTGCGTCTGAGGTTCGTTGGTCTTGTAAACCTCTCCCATGTCTGCCGACTTCATTTCTCCCCTCTCGTGGTCCACCCGAGCCTCGATGACCCCATCCCTGACAGCCTTGGCCACAATGTACTCTGCATCTTCTTCGCTCTCCAAATGAAGCTTGCGCGTGATGTCTGCAAGCGAAATCCGACTGTATGCGAGGGAGATGGTGCGGATACCCGTCTTGATGACATTGTGGCGCAGACGCACGATCAGAGAACGCGTGCGGTCGGCTTGAAAGAGCGCTTCGTGCGTGGACAGCGTCTTTTGAAAGAGGGACAAATCGCCCACTCGGACCGCTGCAGAGAGTCAGAACGCGTCAGCTTGCTTCACACTGGCACGAATCAAAAGCCCTGCTCACCTTGGACAATCTCCATATAAGGCGCAAGGGCCTTCTGGAGCACTTCGGCGCGGAAAATGCTTCGTTCAGGAATGTCGCCCATGAGCAGCTCCACGACGACCAGGAATTTGTGAGCCGTCTGCAAGAACCCAGCGGCAGGCACAGAAGGTTTGCCAAGTTTGGCAGCAGGCGGACCGTCCGCCTTTTCCTTGTCCGCCGCACCCTTGTTGGCGCTTGCCGGTTGCACAGCCGCTGGAGCTCTTCTGATGGCTTGTTGAAGGTGCGTGTGAGCTTCCGAGTAGTTCAATTGAACAGCTCGAATTCTTCCTACGTAGTACTCGTACCTCGCCACTTGGCCATTGCCAGCCTTGCTTCGAGGAAAAGGGGCTCTGGCGACGAGCTTGTCCGCTTGGTCGTACAGGTTCGCCTTTCCCTCGATGTAGCTCCTGAGCAGGAGGTTGATGAGCGTCGCTTGCGTCTCGGGATCGTGTCTAAGAGAGGCGCTCCTGTACAGACTCAAGAGGTAAGGACGCTCGCCGGCAAGACCCTCGGCAGATTTGTCCTTGCTGAGCAGTTCGATGCTCCTAGAGAGGTAAAAGACAAGCCTGGCACCGAGCAAATCCTGGGATCTCTTATTTTGAGCGACGACAGCATCGATCGAAGACCTGGCCAGCGTCTGCGCTTCTTCTACCTTTCCTCCATCCAGCAGGTAAACCACCAACAGAAGACGCAGATACGCTTGAACTTCAGCAGCCGCTTCTGGTCTCGCTTTAAAAGGTTGATTGAACTTTTCGATGAATGCAGCCCTTTCTTTCTCCTGTTGAGCCTCCTTTTCCTTTTCCTTCTCCCTTTCCGAATCCTTGTCGTCGGACTTGCCGTCTTTCGAGTCCTTTTTTGTTCCCTCTGTGGCTGGCGCAGATTCAGATTCGTCTATGTCCATGGCGTCCGAGGCAGCGTTTGCGCTCGTCGCGGTGGGCAGCTTGACAGGCTGAGGAACATAAGACTTGGGCAAGAACTTGAGCATCGCAGCACGAGATTTATCTACGACGCAAGTATAGACATGAGGAGCGTCAGCATGACGTGCACGGCCAAGGCGATCGCGCCGCGCATTCAACACTCACCATCCGCATCTCCCTCTTCGATTGTGGTGGCGAGCACATCCGGATGAGCAGCAGCTTTGCGTCGAGTAGAGGTCAAGCTTCGAAGAGCTCTAGCGGTGAAGCGAGGCTCCAAGTGCGTCACACCTCTAGTGATGAGCGCCAAGTTGTGTCGCAAGAGGTGAAGAAATTGCTCCTCTGAGGAGAGGGTGGGGATCAAGGAAGCTGTCGAGCTTGATTCTGTAGCGTTGCCCGAAGGCTTTGAATCGGAAGTGGCTTGCGAAGCCATGATGAGGACGCCTTGACAACGGGAGAGATGAGAAAGGAAAACACTCTATTCTGCTTGCACGCAGCGTTGTTCGCGTCGAGTCACAGTGATGGTGGTGCAGCTGGGTCTGACGTAGGAAGGGGATGGCGAAGGTGCTGACTGACGCGCTTGCCTGCTGGCTCGAGCGTCGACCACGCAACGCGCAAGCTCCACCTTCTTTGCTTGTGTACGTGGTGGCTGTTGTGGGAGGGTCACGTGTCCCCAACGCGACCGCGCTGCTCGCGCACGTACAAAGCGAAGAAGCAAGACGTCGCGTATATGCGTTCACGCAGCCCGTCCTTCTTTCGTTCATGCCAAGTCACACAGTCGTGAGTGTGAATGCTGCTTTGCTCACCTCCCCACGCTTGACTTGTGACTTGCAGCTTTTTGCCTCTTGCAGCGCACAACACACAAATACCAGCGATCACCTTCAACTTCCTACAAGCCTTGTCGCGCTGGCCCAAGCGCACTCCCAAATCCCCCATCCTCCTTCCCTGACGCGCCCTTCACTTCTCCAACTCGAAAGCTCTGCGACTCGCAAACATGAAGGTGACGGGTAACGCGAGCGGTTCAGGTTCATCACGCGAGGCGCGCATAGCCTCTCACTCTCACATCAAAGGCTTAGGTCTGACAGAGGATGGCACCGCCTTACCTCTCTCCCAAGGGTTCGTCGGTCAAAAATCAGCTCGAGAAGCTTGCGCATTGATCCTCGATCTGATCAGATCCAAAAAGTTTGCCGGAAGAGCTCTGCTATTGACGGGAGCGCCCGGCACTGGCAAAACGGCACTGGCGCTGGGCATTGCACACGAACTTGGACAAAAGGTACCTTTTTGCCCAATGGTCGGCAGCGAGGTGTTCAGCAGCGAAGTCAAAAAGACCGAAGTGCTCATGGAGAACTTTAGGAGGGCCATCGGTGAGTTGAGCTAGAGCGTCACACGGGCAGAGGCTGGTATGCTGCAGTCACGCGCTCGGCTTGTGTATGCTGACCGCAGACTCTACCTTGTGCTCGCTCCAGGTCTGCGCGTGCGGGAGACAAAGGAAGTCTACGAAGGCGAAATCACGGAATTGACACCGACCGAGGCGGACAATCCCTTGTCGGGCTACGGAAAGACGATTTCGCACGTCGTCATCGGGCTCAAGACTGTCAAGGGTACCAAGCAACTTCGTCTGGATCCCAGCATATACGAGAGCATCATGAAAGAGAGGGTGTCGGTGGGCGATGTAATTTACATTGAGGCTAACACCGGAGCTGTCAAGGTGAGATTCTAGGACTGTGGAGCGTGCGTCGAGTTTCGGAATTGACACGTGTCGTGCCAATGTCTTAGAGAGTGGGTCGATCAGACGCTTATGCGACAGAGTACGATCTGGAAGCGGAGGAGTACGTCGCTTTGCCAAAGGGGGAGGTGCACAAGCGCAAAGAAGTGGTGCAAGACGTTACGCTGCACGATCTTGACATTGCGAATGCCAAGCCTCAAGGTGGTCAGGATATCATGAGCGTTGTGGGACAATTGGTCAAGGGAAGAAGAACGGAGATCACGGACAAGCTCAGGGGAGAGATCAACAAAGTGGTGGATGGGTACATTGAGCGAGGAATTGCAGAGTTGGTACCTGGTGTGCTCTTCATCGACGAGGTGAGCATCCGCTAAGCGTCGAATCAGTGCGCACTGTGCTTTCGCGAGCTCGCTCAACCCCCCTCTCTGTATGTGCGTGTTTTGCCTGCAGGTGCACATGCTGGATCTCGAGTGCTTCACCTACCTCAACCGAGCGTTGGAGAGCACCATCTCGCCGCACGTCATTTTGGCTACTAATCGAGGCAAATGCGTCGTGCGAGGAACAGAGTACGATGCGGTTTCGGGGGGAGAAGGAATCGTCTCTCCCCATGGTATCCCACTTGACCTCTTAGATAGGTGCATGATCGTCAGGACTTTGCCATACACCAAGGAAGAGATCAAAGAGGTGCTCAAGCTGAGGGCTAGGATCGAGAATCTGAATCTCAACGAAGACGCGCTAGATTTGCTCACCGAAGAAGGTGTCAAGAGCTCCTTGCGGTGAGTTTTAGTGCCGCCGAGCTACCTGCCGATCAACTCCTCCTCACACCGCAACAAATGCACCCGTGTTCCCACCATGCCTCGCAACACAGATTTGCCCTGCAACTCCTCTCCCCAGCTTCCATCTTGGCAAAGGTCTCGACGAGGACAGAGATTATGGTGGGAGATGTTCAGGAAGCCAATACGTTGTTCATCGACGCGAGGAGGAGCGCGAGGTCATTGACGAGCGGACAAGGAGGAAAATTCCTTTGAGGGGCTTGGCAATGTTCCCTCAGCTCAGACAGTCTACCACTTTTGGCGCGCCGCATTGGGGAGCCCTAGGGCGGACAAATGAAAACATGCGGTTTTGAACCCCCGACATTTTTGGGGGGGGGCGAGCAGATTTCGCGCTTTTCTCGATACGAATGCGTGTGATGAGAGGCTTCCTTTCCCCCTCGGGACGGGTTTTGCTTCGGAAGATTACCATGCGAATCACCGGTACAGAAGTAAAAGCAAGAGCTTGCTTGCTTGCTTGCTTGCTGATGCTGGTGCTGGTGCTGCTGCCAGCTAGCTAGCTCACAGCATAGGACCGCAAGGCTTCGACACCGCAATTCAACCTTTGTGGATTCTCAACGGCTTCAGGGGGTGCGGGCGTGGCTTCATGTGTTTGATCTCTTGTTCGCTATTCAGCCCACGGAATTGTGATCATCTTTCGATCTGCTAGCATAGCTTGTGGATAGCGAGTTTTCGTGGCAACGTGAGCTGTTCACTTGAAGGAAAGCAAGCACCTATCATTTGAATTACCTCCCCCCCCCCCAGAATGATTTCCCCCCCCTCCCCCTCGTCCAAACGTCGCTCGCGCAAGATTAATTTGCAAGTCGCTTTTATACAACTTGCGTTCCGTCGACTTTGAGGCGCGCGTCCCCAGATCGAGCATGTTTCTTGATGGACTGCATGTAAGCTGTATAGGATGCTCGGCGACACAAGACAAGAGCATCATCAAGATGCGTGAAGGCGCAGGTGGGCGTGAGGCGCAAGGTGGAGCGAGGGGGATGACTTTTGCAGAATTCGCAACATCGTGACAAGCATAGCCAAAGGGATACGAGACGAGTAGAAAAGGGTGATGAGGGGAAGAGAGGGGGAGGGGGACAAAAGAGAAGCGTGGGAGAAAGGAGGGAAGATGATCCTTTTTGCCATTTGTCTTCTTTTGTCTGTCATTCTTTCCCCGTTTTCTCCCCCCACCCCCTTGTCTCACGCTCTGCTCCTCTTTGCTCTCTTGCCCTCTTCTTCTTGTTCCGGCTGTTGCCTATCCAAATTCAACATCCCATCCCCATCCACCTGCATCTCGTTTCCCTCTGCTTGCTTTCCCTCAGCAGTCGAAGCAGCAGCAGCAGCAGCAGCAGCAGACGCGGCAAGAGGGGCAGCACCACCCGTCGTCGTCGTCCTCGTCGAAGGGTGATTCTCTACGTCGTCCAATTCGTCCACTTTTCCTTTGGGCACACCAAGAGGTACCGTAGGCACATTTGGAGCTCTAGCCCCTCCTCCTGCACCTCCTGCAGCTGCTGTAGCAACACCCGTACCGGTACCCGCACCCGCACCTGCACTCGTAGTGGCGCCGACTATCGGGTTGGCAGAATGACCAGTCGTACTCGCAAAGTCTCCATTGGACCGTTGCGTCGCGTGCTCATTGCCATTGTCGCTCGCACCGATCTGACCATCGTCCATGCGCGTCGACTTTGCGCTCGTATTCGCTCCGGCATCCCTAGCTGCCACTTTACCAGCCATCTCTTTCGCGTGCGCCTGCTGCTGTGCTTCGAGATGCTGCACAGGCTGCGATTCGAGCAACGAGAAAGCAGCAGCAGCAGTAGCAGTAGTGGTAGGATTAGACGCGCTCGTACTCGCGCTACCGATCGCACCGGGTGTTCCGGGCGCGCCAGTCCCTCTTCCTTGAACTTGAGCGAGCCTTTGCGCATCTGACGTCGTCCTGTCCGCTCCTGCCAATTCAGCTCCCGGTCCTCCCACGCCCGCGCTTGCTCCTGCTCCTGCTCCATGCAACCCAAACCCACGCGTTGCAGCTCCATTGCCATCCTCATTTTCGTTCCCATTTGCAGCTCCTTCAAGTCCAAGGCCCAGTCCCAAACCCAAGTCCAAGCCCATCGCTTCGTCCGGATTTGTGCTCGCACCAACAGCTTCGAAAGCGTCGGGATGAGAAGAAGAGGAAGTCAGGTCGAGATCTAGATCCAGTTGAGAGCTGGAAGCAAGTGGGCCTTCTTCGGAGGATGGTCGGATCAGAAAAGGAATGGGAGAAAAGATTGGATTGCTTAGAGGTGCGAGCGTATCGTAAGAGCCAACTGATGAGGAGGTGGATGTGGATCCAGTCTCTGAAAAGATGGATCCTTCTCTCACATACGTCCCACCAACCATCCCGCTTCCACTTCCGCTCCCGTTCGCGTCCGTGCTTGGGACATTTGCAGAACGAGTGCTTTCGATGTCGAGGAAGGATGCGTGAGATGCAGTCACTGAAAGTACGCGCTTGAGACTCGAAAGGTATTTGCTGACTGTCCGCGCGTGCTCGTTGGGATTCAACATGAGCTCGGCTAGACGTTGAATCGTAAAGGGCGCGTTGCTGTTGAGCGTGAAGAAGACATGGCATGTACGCATTCACGCGCGATCAGTATCGGCCAGTGCGAGTTCAGCGCTTCGGAAGCGAAGCTTGGAACTCGACTCACTCGAAAGCTTCTATCCTTGCGCAAACATCTTGCACTTCATCCTCCAACGCTTGACCTTCCAAGTGCAAGCCCCACGTTCCATACCATGGCTTGCTCAGCGGAGCTGTGGTCTTGCTTGGGTAAAAGTTGGACAGATCGGCGGGGAGAACGACATCATCATCGTCAACCGTTGTCGCTGCGGATGCGGATGCGGATGCGGAAACGGGCGGTTGATGCACGCTTTGCAAGGTGGAAGCAGACTCAGCGTCGGACAGGATATTGGTGGGCGGGCGCTCGAGATAATCGCCATTGGGTTGAGATGTTTGGCCCTGCATCTGGTGCTGCGTCTGCGTCTGCATCTGCATCTGTTGCACCTGCACCGCATCCGACGACGCTACATTCCTAGCAGCTCTATGAATCTCTTTCCCCCTCTCGAACCTCGTATCCCACTGCTGCACCACGCATCTCAAATGTGAAATCATCGCGCTCTTCATCTCTTTCCAGTCCAAGTCTTCGGGCAGCTGATCGGTGCTGGAGATTTGTTGGAGCGCTTGTTGGTGAGTGGGTGTCAGCGATAGGAGCGCACTGGATGAGCTGGACGAGGAGATGCCGAGTGCGTTGGCTTGTGCGCTGGATGAGCCCATACCCCCTTTTGAGCCTGAGCCTGAGCCTGTGCCTGTGCCTGAGCCTGAGCTGCAAGCTTGCGCTGCAGCTGGACTGGTCGAGCTGGACATGCTGAGCGAATCGGCTTTCTGTATGCTGCGTACGTACGTACGTGTGAGTAAGGTGAGGTGGAGAGTGTGAGTGTGAATGAGCGAGTTGATGATGGTCAGCTGCGTTTGAGTACAGAGATCATCACCAGCAGCATCTCGATCGCATCGCATCACTAAGCAAGAATTTGAATTGAAATTGAATCGTGAATCAAGAATGTGAATCCGATCAGAACAACGATCGATCGCGTGACCCTCGTGAGCGTCAACCTGCGCCTGCTGATGCGCAAAATTGAATTCACTCGTTCACGATTCAATTGAATCTCGAGTGTGAGTGGGACGCGCAAGCATGCTCCCACGCATGCGAGCCAGCCCGCCCGCGTTATATAGCTGCAGAAGATCATCGCGACGCGACATGACACGCAAAGCTGCAGCTGCAATCACGTGAATTCAGAGTGCCCGCACCAAGCGCGACTTTACAAGTCACGTGAGTTTGCAAGGCTTGCTGCGACTGACGATGATGATGATAGTCACGAGCGTGTTGCGTGCACCCCCCCC